CACCCTGACACAGCTGTTGCAAGCCGTGCTGGTGACTATTTCAATGACAATGTTATGGCCCATTTTAGGAAAGTCTTGAAGGAACGGAGGTACAGAGCTCTATGGACAGATTTGTTGTGCGACAGAGGTCCAGTGACTCTCAAGCTGGTCCTAGTGGCATTAAAAGAAGAAGGGAAGTAACCCCAGAAAAGGACTTGCTACCTCAAGTCCTAATGGAAGGGGATTCCCTTCTAAACAGTAAGAAGATAATGCTCTCCCCTCCTCCCATCCCATCAATCATCACCAGATCTTCAATAAAAGTAAGTGTCATTTAATTGTGCATGCCTTTTTCAGTTTGTGTGTATTAAAATTAACATTTCATGTGGTAAAAAAAAATTTTTTTCATACTTTTGGGCGTCTTGCACGGATTAATTTTATTTCCATTATTTCTTATGGGGAAAATTCATTCGCATAACGATTATTTCGCATAACGATGAGCCCTCTTGCACGGATTAAAATCGTTAACCGGGGGTCCACTGTATATTGAAACAAAGTGATTTGTGATCACTTTCCCCAAGTTCATCATTAACCTCAAGATTATTAACTAGTGATTCTTTGTTGGCAAGAACCAAGTCAAGTAGATTGTTTCCTCTAGTTGGTTCTATCACAAACTGTTTTAAAAAGCAATCCTGAACCGTATCAAGAAAGTCACTAGACTCAAGATTTCCTGTCACATTGTCCCAGTCAATTTGTCTAAAGTTAAAATCTCTCATTAATACAACATTTTCATATCTAGACGCCTTATGAATTTCGTCCCATAGCAGCTTACTGCACTCTCTATCAAGGTTTGGGAGCCTATAAATCACACCCAAAATTAACTTTTCACGACCCTCAAGAAACTGTAGCCAAACAGATTCTGTGTCTGATGTTTCTAATCTTACATCTTGTCTAACACAACAATTTAAATTATCTCTGACATTGCCACTCCACCACCCTTCCTGTTGACCCTATCAGTATGGAATAGTTTATAACCCTGTATGTTGCATTCAGAGGGCATTTCTCTATCAAGTTGAACCAGGTCTCTGTTATAGCAATAATATCTATATTACCTGCACTTGCAAGTAATCTTAGCTCATCTATCATATTTCTTAGACTCCTGCTATTTGTATAGTAAACTTTAAGGGAGCTAGTCACTCGTTGCCCTCTACTATCTCTCTTTGTTTGTTGATCAATTGATTTATCTTTACTAGCAACTTTATTTTGAATATTGTCTTTTTTGAGGTATCCTGGTTATATCTGCCATTTTCAACCCTAGTACTGCAGCCTGATTGTTTCCCACAGACACCCATACCTCTATAATCTATCAGTTTAAAGCCCTAGACAAGTCATCAGTGACCCCCTCAATCGAATTGGCTAATGCAACCACTCCTGCCCCAGAGAGATGAACCCCATCCCTTGAATGGGATTGCAAGTTCCTTGCAGTATGTGTCTAGCCAGCAATTTATACCAATTGCCCTAGACATCCATTCATTGCCCACTCCCCTTCTAGGCAAGATGCTACATATGATTGGGATCTCTCCCTTAGACCTGACTACATCTATGGCTGACCTATACTTATCCAGCAGCTCCTGTCTCCTTCCATTCCCGATGTCATTTCCACCAGCACTAAGACAGATAATGGGCTTGTTCCTATTGCTTGACATAATATTATCCAACCTCGAGGTTTCGAGGTTCTGACCTGGGGGTTGGTGAGGATGGGAAGGAAGAGGTATGGGGAGGGCTGGAAAAAATGGAAGAGGTTGGGAGGGTGGAGTAGGAGGTGGGGTAGCAGAGGTGAGTGGCCCGTCCACTCTGGAGCTTAATGTGCAGAGGTACTGCAGGAGGTTGTACTGGAGTGAGATGTGCTGGTGGCAGCAGTGTCGGTAGAGTAGGGATGGAACTCAGGCGCCTGGCAGGAGATGGCTGGGGGTGCCCAGGAAAACAGGGTCCTTTTGGAGCCACATCCCAGCTTTAGCTAAATAGCAGAGTGCTGGGGAACTTTAGTTGCTGATCGGTGATGATAGACTGTGCAGCTTTCGGAGCCATTTCTGACTGTGTTGAATTTTGCTCTTGAGAGGTGCAGTACCTTCATTTTGGAGTTGATGTGACTTTTGTCGTTGAGGATGTCGAGTATGGATTGTAGGGTTGGAGGTGGAATTCCGTGTACGGTGTACTTTGCAGTGTTGTCTTGGAGTCGTTGGCTGAGTTCTGGGAAGGGCATGGCTGCTACTGTATGGTTTCGTGGTGTAGAACGTGGCAAAGTCGTGTTTGAGGGTCTGATCAGTTGCTGGTGGGGGTTGAGCTGGGCGAGTCGGAGTTTCTGATAGGTCAGTAGTTTCAGGGGTGGCAGGTGGTGGTGGGTTCACGTTGGTGGTTTCTTCTGCGGTCTCGGGGGTCTCTGGTTGAATCTCGTTGGTGGGTTCTGCTGAGGTCTCAGAGGTTTCTTGTTGGGACAGCTCAGTATCTGGTGGAGGTTGAGGTAGCGGTGGGGCAGTGGCAATGTTTGTGATATTTGCAGTGGATTTGAGAATCTCAGTGGAAGGTGGTGATGCGGGGAATGTGAAACCCGGCATGTTGTTGAGCTTGAAGAGTTTGTTGATGGTGGTGTTGAAGGAGCCAGGCTCAGCTGAGTTCTGTACATGGGCATACATGATGCAGTAGAGGATTTTGGTGGAGTCGCCAGCGGGGGCTGGCAGGGGAGTGGTGGGGGCTGCTTGTGTGGTTTGAAGCTTGGTGATAGTGGCATATGAGGTTGCTTGTGGATGGGGCTTGTTTTGTTGATGGTATTGTTTCTTGACTATGTCCCTTCTGGTAGGGCATCTGGCTGCGAGAGTGTGGTGGTCATTCTTGCAGTTCAGGCATTTAGGTGGTGCAGCAGTGGTGCAGTTTTTGAAAGTCGTGACCCTCGAGGCCACAGGTGGGGCAGAATTTTTTGTCCTTGGCAGTGCAGTCTTTGGTGGTATGTAGGTAAGAGTAGCAGTTGTAGCAGTGTGGGATTTGCAGGAATTTTTCTTCTTCGATGAAGGTTGGGTTGATGTGGAAATAGTGAATAGCCAAGCCCTCAGCTAGAGCTCTGGTTGCCATGTTGACGTCGCTGAAGGTCACCTTCAGCATGGATGAAGCGTTGGGTATCTTGGTAATGTAGTCCACCTTAGCCCAGGGGTTCTGTGCCTCAATGGATGATTTGATTTCTTCAGTAGCCTGTTACAAAAAGCACAGTCCATATATCTTACCTGAGAATCTCCCACAATTAGAATACTCTTACCTTGATAAGCAGGGTAGTCAGTGTCGCCACGGCGCCCTGAGCGGGCCCGGCCACTCACTCTGTGTACCAGTCAGTATGCCATTGTTTACAAAGCCAGAGGATGATTCCGCCCATACATGCGATATATTTTGTATTATTCCATTCTTTTTGGTGCTTGTAACTGCTAAATAAGCCACCATGGGCCCCAGGAAAGCTTCTAGTGCCAGCCCTATGGTAAAGAATGTGAGAAACACATAATTTAAGAAAAAGTTTGTAGAAAAATACAAAAGTGGTGGTGGTAGGGGGTGGTAGTGGTTGTGATGGTGGTAGAGGGTTGTAGTGGTGGTGGTAGAGGGTAGCAATTGTGATGATGGTAGTGGTTGTGATGGTGGTAGAGGGTGGTAGTGGTGGTGGTAGAGGGTTGTAGTGGTGGTGGTAGAGGGTGGTAGTGGTAGTGATGGTGGTAGAGGGTTGTAGTGGTGGTGGTGGTAGAGGGTGGTAGCGATTGTGATGGTGGTAGAGGGTGGTAGTGGTTGTGGTGGTGGTAGAGGGTGGTAGTGGTGGTGGTAGAGGGTGGTAGTGGTTGTGATGGTGGTATGGTATGATAAGGCATGGTGAGGCTGCCAATTCTGACAAAAAAGCAGCTGAAAAACATGTGCAGGACTTTAAGGGGTACATAGAGGCTGAAAATTTAAAACCCCAACAAGTATTCAATTGTGACAAAACAGGCCTGTTTAAGAAGAAAATGCCAAACAGGACCTACATTACTTAGAAGGAAAAGGCACTCCCAGGACACAAGCTAGAAAAGGACTTGTTACCGAAGTTATTATTGTTTTATTCATGTATCATTGTTTTCTGTGTAGGGAAATGTATATTTCATGTAAAAAAAATATTTTGTTCAATACTTTTGGGTGTCTGGAACGGATTAATTGGATTTCCATTATTTCTTAAGGGGAAAATTAATTCGGTTAAAGGCTAGCTCTCTGGAACGGATTAAAGGCATTAGCCGAGGGTCCACTGTACAAGGATAACCAATGAAACTAGGTATAAAATTTAGCACATGATATTGCACATAAGAGAAATTTTTCACAAGTGGTTATTACCACTGATAAAAAAGCTAGACCATGTTATCACTGAAGGAACTTAGTAAATTTGAGCCAGTGCCTCATCAGGTGGACTGTAGTCCCTGCATTGGACTGCCTGCTCCTAGCTTGACTGATCAGCTCCTCAACCAGAAATCCTAGTCTGTGACCGGACTGTAAGGGCAGTAGACCCCCCAGACCAAGTAGGTTAGGCCTTGCAATCAGTATCAGACTTCCTAAGAGCCATTGCAGCATTGGAAGGAAATTTGTTGGAACTTACTGGTGTGGTAGAATTGTATGTGGTGAAGAAAATGTACTTTGCAGAACAAGCTTATGTTGGGACAACATTTTGGGCTTTTAACATCTTTTATCAATATTACTCAAAGCATAACATGAGTGACATGGACCAGTAAATACTGAGTGCCAATGATAACATTTTTGTAATATCTTGACCTGCTTGTGATTTTTAACTTTTCATCTTTGTGGTTGTGTTCATGCTCGTAGATTCCTTACCTACTGCCTGACATTGACTCCCAGTGTATCTGTATGAAGTTGCATTTTAACTTTCAGTTCCCTTTGGAATTCACCAATACATTTAGCTATTATTCATAAACCATATTATGTACTGTACTTACTACTGTATTTTTTTATTGTAGAAGTCCCGTCTCCGTTTCATCAGTAATGTTGAAGAGTAATTCATTAATTGGTGAGAGCCAGGAATCTAGTGAAGTAAGCAAATCACTTGACCTGACTCAGTCAGTGCCGTCCTCAACCATTACGTTTGCTGCTAACCAAGAGGAGGATCTGATATCTTTATGTCAGCAAGAGAACAGTGGTAATTTTCTGAAGGAATCTTCCAAGAATGTTGGCCTGGAGGTGAATAACAGTTTGGCACTCAATACAAGCACTTCAAAGTCTGTTCAGATATCCAAAGGATCGTCATCAATCAAAGATTCTCTGAGTGCTGTATTGAGCAGCAAACATTTCACATTAAATTCTAAGACTAAACCAAGATTACCTCTTAAAAGTAAGTTATATTATATTAGTATTCTTAGAAATATGTAATATTCTGAACATATTAAGTATTTTTTTTGTGCAGTCTGTGTGTTAATTTGTGCAGTACAGTATAATAGCCCATAAATTTTAAACTTTTCATGTTTTTGTGTGCTGAAGATGCCATTAAAAGTGCTATGACATTTTAGTATGCTGAAGGAAATATCCATAGATTCTATGATGCATTACAGTGCTGAGAAATACCATTGTAGCTTGCATAACACTAGTATGCTGAAGGATGTCAGTGTAGATTTGATGGCATATTTTAACACCAAAAAATGTTAACAATAAATATTTTTTTAAAGCACACTAGCCATCTTCAAAAAAAGTCACCCAAAAAGCACATTTACCATCGTTCATTCAATAGCTGTCTTATCAGAAGTACACAGACACCACAATTCGGGTGGCCCTCCAAACTATATTACCCTCACCCCTCCTTTAGAGTACAGGACTCTAGTCCATCCAACTAGTTTTTATGAATTAATTCTGCTGTTTGTTGTGTAAATCTCCTCAGACTCCAAGAACGTGTCACACCATATAAACCACTTGCCTCCACTCGCTTCTATCTAACATTTTCACGTGTCTGTTTTCATGTATGATTTTATGCATGCAATGAGCAATATTTTCACTTAAAATGTTTCATAATTGGTAATTTTTTGGGGTCTGGAATGGAATAATCCAATTTACATTATATTTAATGGGAAAAATTGATTCAATAGTCATACAACTTACTATTTGAACAGCCTCCTGGAATGGATTATATTTGAATATCGAGGTACCACTGTACTGTACTTTTGAATTTACAGTATCTTTTATAATAACATTTATGGTGTGAAAACCACATTTCTTTACAAGGGGGTCACAGGAAAGGGGTTTATCTGGAATGTGTCATATTATACCTCACTCACACCAGTACTCTCCTTTTTGAACCCCAGTGAGGTCCTGTGCTTTACGCTTAGTGTTGAACTCCCTTCACCAGTGCTGGCATATTGATAGTGACTTTTTGTGGCTACTGTCATTTGGGCACCCACAAAGCTGTAATTCCCACTTCATAATTAGTACATAATAGTAGTTAGGGGATGTGACAGAAATTGAAGTCACATGTGACCCCTTGTGTAGAAAGGCATTTTTTTTTTTATCAACTCATGTTTATGTGCACTGAGAGCCTCAGGAAGTCCACTTGGAATCATACCACTGCATATAGACTGTGGAGGCACCTGTTGAAAGGTTGAAGAATTCTGTAAGTTGAAAATTACAACTTAATGATGTTTTGGTTCTTCTTGGACCATTAACAAGTCAAAAGTGGGAAAGTTAGAAGCAAGGTCTCAAATCAAACATGTTTGTAGAACATTTGACAGTATACTGGCAGAGGCATTTACTATTTGATAATGAACCAATACTTTCTTCCACTACATTCAATATTTATTTCCAATATTTGGGTAGTTATTAACTGATTTCTTAAAGCACATTATAATTTTTTTTTTTAAATACCAGCTGTCTCCCATCAAGGTAAGGTGACCTGAGAAAGAAATTTTCACCATCATTCATTTCATCATTGTCTTCCCAGAGGTGCACTGATACTACAGTTCAGATAACCCTCCAGACTGCAAATATCCCCACCTCTCCTCCTGAGTCAGGCACTGTACTTCCCACCTCTAGGACTTGAGTTCAGCTAACCACTTTCCCTGAATCCCTTCACAAAATGTTACCTTACTCACTCTCCAACAGCTCGTGCAGTCCTAAATGCTCATTTGCCTCCACTCCTATGTAAAGTGCTTGCACATGCCTCCTGGATGTCCAAGCCCCTCACACACAAAGCCTCCTTTACTTCCCTCCCTCCAACCTTTCCTAGGATGACCCCTATCTTGCCCGCCCTCCAACCTTTCCTAGGATGACCCCTATCTCTGCCTCCCTCCACTACAGATCTATACACCCTCTGTCATCCTATTTGGCTCCATGTTCTTTAAATGTCCAAACCACCTCAACAACCCCCTCCTCAGCCCTCTTGATAATACTTTTAGTAACTTTGCACTTCCTCCTAATCTTCAAGCTACAGATTCTCTGCATAATATTTAAACAATATAAATACCTGTATATATAATTTATATACTGTATGCTAATCCTCTGAAACTAAAACGGAAAGTACTGAATAAATATAATTTTTTTTTATCTTAATCCACCAGTGCATCTACCTCGTAATTTTCTTGGAGAAGGCACAGTTGTACGTACTGACAGAGGAGACATGATTGCCCACAACTTGTCATCTATTACAAAGTACAGGCAGACAGACCCAAATGGCCAGAAGACAGTTCTGCAAAATATTGCATCTATATTTGGACCTGCGGTATGTATATAATTTAGTAAAAAATATGATTGTTTAAAATTTATATCTTCATATAACATTGACCATGAATTTGTTCTAGATTTGAAAAAATGGAGAATGGGATGTAATGTGATAAGAAATACATAAAATGAAGATGAATTTAAAACTAACATTAATGCATATTATGTCGAGTGTTCAAATGAGATATTAAAATAGTTTGAAAAAGAATTCATAAAAAAAGGGAATATGCTTGTCAGTCTTACTTGCACCCACCTATTCTACTCATATTTGGTCCATTACTATTATTTTTCCCCCCTCTGTGTTCTTGTTCCTACCCTTTGTGGGCCCCTAGTTCTCTTGCAGTGCTCCTCTTTCTTAGTCATTGACTGGCTCCACTACTGCTGCTGCTGCTGTCCGCTGCCGCTGCCGCCGCCGCTGCCGCCTCTACCACTACTTTTCTTCCTTTCCCACTACCTCTCTGCTGTCTGCTGGCCTCTATGTACTCACTCCCTCCTCTCCTTTTTCTTAGTGTGAGTTTGTAAATGGTCCAAGTCGAACCGAAATGTCGTCGTTAGCTCCTCTCTCTTATGTGTGGGTTGTGCATGAAAATGTCTCATTTTGGACCACCCTGCCTCAATGGGACATGGCCAATGTGTTGAAAAAAAAAATTCTTGATGTGACTAAAGGAGCTATTGCAATCTTTCATTAATATTCTGTATTTAAGTCGTGATTAATTTCTGTAGATGTTGAGTGCTCAGGTCCTTCATAAAGAAGGTGTGTTATTTGAAGTTGCAATTGATATGGGGTCCAGTTTCCTATTTGTTGTGGTAATAATTAACTTTATATAGTTGTAGATCCCCTTGCACAGATCCTACAAATGGTATATGGATAGATCAATGAATATTATAGAAAAAAATACCTTCTTATTTTTTTTTTATTTTTAATATGTATTAGAACAGTGTACAGTGTCTGCACTCTAAAGTGGGTGTGAGAATGTTGCAGTTTGGATGGTCATCTGTGTTGTGATATCAGCACACATCTGGCAAGACAATTGAATGAATGTGGATGGTTTTACTTTTTTTTTTTTTTCTACCTTGGTGGGAGATGGATGGTGAAAAAAAAGTATTGAATATAGCCTTTGAAGTTAAATATATTGCCTAAATGTAAGTGAAAGAATTGCTTTTCTTTTTTGCTGTTTGTGCTAAGTTCTGTTTAGCAGAAATGCTAATTTCTAAATAGAATTCTATTTTTTTTTTTATTGTCACACTGGCCGATTCCCACCAAGGCAGGGTGGCCCGAAAAAGAAAAACTTTCACCATCATTCACTCCATCACTGTCTTGCCAGAAGGGTGCTTTACACTACAGTTTTTAAACTGCAACATTAACACCCCTCCTTCAGAGTGCAGGCACTGTACTTCCCATCTCCAGGACTCAAGTCCGGCCTGCCGGTTTCCCTGAATCCCTTCATAAATGTTACTTTGCTCACACTCCAACAGCACGTCAAGTATTAAAAACCATTTGTCTCCATTCACTCCTATCAAACACACTCACGCATGCTTGCTGAAAGTCCAAGCCCCTCGCACACAAAACCTCCTTTACCCCCTCCCTCCAACCTTTCCTAGGCCGACCCCCTACCCGCCTTCCTTCCATACAGACTGATACACTCTTGAAGTCATTCTGTTTCGCTCCATTCTCTCTACATGCCCGAACCACCTCAACAACCCTTCCTCAGCCCTGTGGACAACAGTTTTGGTAATCCCGCACCTCCTCCTAACTTCCAAACTACGAATTCTCTGCATTATATTCACACCACACATTGCCCTCAGACATGACATCTCCACTGCCTCCAGCCTTCTCCTCGCTGCAACATTCATCACCCATGCTTCACACCCATATAAGAGCGTTGGTAAAACTATACTCTCATACATTCCCCTCTTTGCCTCCAAGGACAAAGTTCTTTGTCTCCACAGACTCCTAAGTGCACCCCTCACTCTTTTTCCCTCATCAATTCTATGATTCACCTCATCTTTCATAGACCCATCTGCTGACACGTCCACTCCCAAATATCTGAATGCTTTCACCTCCTCCATGCTCTCTCCCTCCAATCTGATATTCAATCTTTCATCACCTAATCTTTTGTTATCCTCATAACCTTACTCTTTCCTGTATTCACCTTTAATTTTCTTCTTTTGCACACCCTACCAATTCATCCACCAATCTCTGCAACTTCCTCTTAGAATCTCCCAAGAGCACAGTGTCATCAGCAAAGAGCAGCTGTGACAACTCCCACTTTGTGTGTGATTCTTTATCTTTTAACTCCAGCCTCTTGCCAAGACCCTCGCATTTACTTCTCTTACAACCCTATCTATAAATATATTAAACAACCACGGTGACATCACACATCCTTGTCTAAGGCCTACTTTTACTGGGAAAAAATTTCCCTCTTTCCTACATACTCTAACTTGAGCCTCACTATCCTCGTAAAAACTCTTCACTGCTTTCAGTAAACCTACCTCCTACACCATACACTTGCAACATCTGCCACATTGCCCCCCTATCCACCTGTCATACGCCTTTTCCAAATCCATAAATGCCACAAAGACCTCTTTAGCTTATCTAAATACTGTTCACTTATATGTTTCACTGTAAACACTGGTCCACACACCCCTACCTTTCCTAAAGCCTCCTTGTTCATCTGCTATCCTATTTTCCGTCTTACTCTTAATTCTTTCAATTATAACTCTACCATACACTTTACCAGGTATACTCAACAGACTTTTCCCCTATAATTTTTGCACTCTCTTTTATCCCCTTTCCCTTTATACAAGGAAAACTTGCATGCTCTCTGCCAATCCCTAGGTCCCTTACCCTCTTCCATACATTTATTAAATAATTGCACCAACCACTCCAAAACTATTTTCCCCACCTGCTTTTAACATTTCTATCTTATCCCATCAATCCCAGCTGCCTTACCCCCTTTCATTTTACCTACTGCCTCACGAACTTCCCCCAACTCACAACTGGCTTTTCCCTTTCACTCTACAAGATGTTATTCCTCCTTGCCCTATACACGAAATCACAGTTTCCCTATCTTCATCAACATTTAACAATTCCTCAAAATATTCCCTCCATCTTCCCAATACCTCTAACTCTCCATTTAATAACTCTCCTCTCCTATTTTTAACTGACAAATCCATTTGTTCTCTAGGCTTTCTTAACTTGTTAATCTCACTCCAAAACTTTTTCTTATTTTCAACAAAATTTGTTGATAACATCTCACCCACTCTCTCATTTGCTCTCTTTTTACATTGCTTCACCACCACTCATTGTTGTAAAAATTTTTTTTTGCAGCATTTTAGTCTTTTCTTGTCATTGGTCGTATTTTCTCTTGGGAATATTTTATTCTCGATTACAATGATTAAATGATGTTCTGAGGGATTATATCTGCTTCTTTAATTTTCTATTATCATTTTTATTTGTATTTCACACCGCATTCTCTTAAATGAGGCACGTTTCACATATGGCATGGCATTTCTCTTCTACTTTGTTTCATGAGTGTAGTAAGGCTACAGGGAGTGGAGGACAGATTGATAGCATTCTGTTTTACTAACCTGATTTTGTCTGAAACAAAATCACTGCCTAGAGAATAGTGTAGCTTTTCTTCCTATGTATTCCATTTTCTTCGTAAAATAAATTCTTTTTATTCTACTGTATACTGTCATTTATTTTGCCTTTCATTTTTTTTATCAGCAATTCTCTTATATTCACTTAAACTTCTCTCTGAAAGAATAATGTAGTGCTATAATTGGCATTTAGGTATATGTCATTTCTCATCAGTAGCCTAGTGTTATACAGTGGACCCCTGGTTTACGATATTATTTCATTCCAGAAGTATGTTCAGGTGCCAGTACTGACCGAATTTGTTCCCATAAGGAATATTGTGAAGTAGATTAGTCCATTTCAGACCCCCAAACATACACATACAAACGCACTTACATAAATACACTTACATAATTGGTCGCATTGGGAGCTGATCGTAAACCGGGGGTCCACTGTATTTGCCCAGTTTATGCTCTGTGACTCAATCCTTTAGTTAGGCTGGAGCCAGGGCTGGATTAGATGTGGGCCTCCACCAGCTGGAAGACTTCCAGAGTTTAAGTGAAAAGTGTTCACAGTTACTGCTGTAAGTTTAACCCTTTCACTGTGAGTCCCGTAATATTATGGCTTGCAAGCTGGTGTCGGTCCCATAATATTACACCAAAATTCTAGCGGTTTCCAATCTTGCTGGAGAAAGCTGGTAGGCCTACATATGAGAGAATGGGTCTGAGTGGTCAGTGTGCACAGTATAAAAAAAATCCTGGTCACAGACCGGGCCGCGGGGGCGTTGACCCCCGGAACTCTCTCCAGGTAAACTCCAGGTAATGGGAAAAAAAAATCTATGAACGTGTTTTGGGTTTAAAACAATCTTTGCGGTGTATTTTTGTATGGTATTTATGGCTGTATTCTTGTTTTCTTGGACTCATTTGATAGAATGGAAGATATGTTACAGAAATAGAGATGATTTTGAATGGTTTACAGACTTAAAAGTACCTTGAAATTGAGCTCAAAGTAGCGGAAATGTTCAATTTTTGCCAATGTTCAATAGTAAACAAATCACAACATGTGTCCAATACACATCAATTGGTGGGTATAATATACATTCACAAATGCCCTGATATTATTTATACCATTTTTACAATAATGCAATAGTCTGCATAACACTATTGAATGAATTTTCCCAACCAATTTTCTTTTTTGGTGGCTTTATCACTAATCTTCTTAGGCCCATGGTGACTTATTTATACAACTAATATAAAAAAAAAAAACACCAAAAAATGCAAAGAAACACAAAATAGTTTACAGTGAAATTCTGGCAAGTCATGTTTGTTTGGTCGAGCGATGAGCAAACGGTCGAATACTGAGCTATTTTTTTACTGAACAAAGTGTTTTAATACCGAATTGTTCGAATAGGGAACTGTTCAAGTACCAAGGTTCCACTGTATAGTATGTTATTATATCACATATTTGATGAACTGTTGATTGTTGTGATTAATTTTTTTATAGAGATTTAAGAGTGGATCCCTTATTATAAGGCAGACATTATTCAACTAGAGAGAGGAGTTTCTTCAAGATGAAACATCTAAAGAATGTACACAGATCGACAGTAGCACAAGAACGACTGAACAGACTAGCTCTCATGGCAGTTAAAATCGATTTTCTCAACAACTTAAAATTTACTGATGGTTTTTGGGAATTTGTTTCCAAGAAATTACACAAAGCAAATGTTTGAATTTTAATTGTAATTAGCCCTGCAAAAATAAATTTAATATTTTTTTTTTTTGAAAATATCTCTTGGAGGACCTCATTGTGCCTGTAAAGCCGGTGCTGGATCAGCCAGGCTGTGGTTTGTACGCTGGACTATGTGAAGCCAGCAGTAACAGCCTGTTGATCAGGCTTTGATCCACTGGGATGCCTGGTCATGTACCAGTCCACGGGGGCATTGATCCCAGGAATACCCTCCAGGTAGGTAGCCCAGGGTCCTACAAAATCTTAATCCTGCTCTGGCTTGAGCAGTTATTTTATCATAATCAGTTTAGTAAATATGATGTGTAACATTAATGCATGAATATGGTCTCATTTATTATTTCAGGTGAAGGTGTTGCAGCCAGTGGAGTCAAAAAAACAACCAGAAATAAGTACTATTACCAAAAGGTATGGACTGTTTTTAGCCAGCTATCTCCCACTAAGGTAGGCTTGACCCCCCCCCCCCAAAAAAAAAAAAAAAAAAAAAAAAATTTACATCATTCATTCAGTTACTGCCTTGCCAATCACATGCTGACATCACGGTTCAGATGACCCTCCAAAGTTCAACATTACCACCCCATCAGAATGCAAGCACTGTAATGTACTTCCAACCTCCAGGATTCGTTTGGCTAACTGGTTTCTGTAAATCCCTTTATAAATTTTACCTTGCTCACACTCAAACAGCACTTTAAATCATAAACACAACTTGATCTCTAAAAACATAAGATGACGGGTATATCTTGCTGCTGCTGCTGCTGCTGCTGCTGCTGCTGCTGCTACTACCACTTACACTTAGGTCATACTGCACATATAGCTATATTATGCCTGTGCACTTGCATGTGTTTACACATTCCTCTGAGTTTTCTTCTAATCTCTTAATAGTTTTTGTTTTTACATTATTTTCTTTCATCTCCACGGGAAAGTGGATAAGAATCCTTCCTCCTTAAGCCATGGATGTCATAAAAGGTGACTGAAATGCCAGGGGCAGGGGGCTAGTAACCCCTTCTGCAAAAAATTACTAAATTGAAGAAGCGAATTTCTTCTCTAATATTCTTACTTAGTACCAAGTATTCATATTTGATCTCAACCTATAAGTATCAGCTATTGTTCATGTTAGTTTTATACATAGTTTCTTCATTTGATCTCCTTGTGCAAGTAAAATTAATATGTCATAACATAATGTTATAAGAGTACTGTCCATAAACTTTTGCAAAACAGAATTTTTATACAAGGCAATGCAAATGAAGCAGTTATGTTACTGTATATAGTCTTTAACAAAAATGTCCAAGATTAGTTAGAAAAATGCTCATCTGGTAAACTGGTCAAATAATGTCTTGACTCAAAAGGTTAGGTTGAATGGCAAGAAATGAAAAATATTTATCTGAAGCCATGATGGAAGTGGATAGAAATTGATGGACTATCATGTACATAATGCACTGTAACTGAATAATTTCTTTCAGAGGGGTACCTTGATGCTGGTTAAGGGCTCTTGATTCAAAGTATTGGAACTACCTTTCCCTTTTGGACCAAACTTGATTACTTCCCATTCTCCAGGTTTTGTATAACCCTTTCAGAGTCAGTGCTTTCCCTTGAATATGATGATAACCTTATTAATATTAATCACAGTTCTTTCTTTCTTTCAACACATCGGCCGTATCCCACCAAGGCAGGGTGGCCCAAAAGGAAAAACAAAAGTTTCTCCTTTCACATTTAGTAATATATACAGGAGAAGGGGTTACTAGCCCCTTGCTCCTGGCATTTTAGTCGCCTCTTACAACACGCATAGCTTACGGAGGAAGAATTCTGTTCCACTTCCCCATGGAGATAAAAGGAAATAAACAAGAACAAGAGCTAGTAAGAAAATAGAAGAAAACCCAGAGGGGTGTGTATACATATGCTTGTACATGTATGTGTAGTGTGACCTAAGTGTAAGCAGAAGTAGCAAGACGTACCTGAAACCTTGCATGTTTATGAGACAGAAAAAACACCAGCAATCCTACCATCGTGTAAAACAATTACAGGCTTACGTTTTACACTCACTTGGCAGGACGGTAGTACCTCCCTGGGCGGTTGCTGTCTACCAACCTACTACCTAATTTTAATCACAGTTTCTTTTTTTTTTTCAACACACCAGCCGTATCCCACCGAGGTGGGGTGGCCCAAAAGGAAAAACAAAAGTTTCTCCTTTCATATTTAGTAATATATACAGGAGAAGGGGTTACTAGCCCCTTGCTCCTGGCATTTTAGTCGCCTCTTACAACACGCATAGCTTACGGAGGAAGAATTCTGTTCCACTTCCCCATGGAGATAAGAGGAAATAAACAAGAACAAGAGCTAGTAAGAAAATAGAAGAAAACCCAGAGGGGTGTGTATACATATGCTTGTACATGTATGTGTAGTGTGACCTAAGTGTAAGCAGAAGTAGCAAGACGTACCTGAAACCTTGCATGTTTATGAGACAGAAAAAACACCAGCAATCCTACCATCGTGTAAAACAATTACAGGCTTACGTTTTACACTCACTTGGCAGGACGGTAGTACCTCCCTGGGCGGTTGCTGTCTACCAACCTACTACCTAATTTTAATCACAGTTATTACTATTATTAAGAGGCTAAACATTAAATGTGTATTATTTCATGTTTATGTGCTTTTTCCGTTTTTCAGATTTTCCATTTTACCATGTGATGACTGTGGTGCTACTCTACATTCAGAAAGATCCCTTCAAATTCACTATCGCCGATATCACAAAGAATGGAATGATGAGTGCTTCGTCTGTGGTAAAAAATTCCTTAACATGCAGTATGTACGATCACATATACAAGAAATTCACAGCAAGGAGGAATCCTTTCAGTGCCGTTTGTGTTCATACAAGTGCAGTGTCTTAAAAGAGTTTTTGAAACATCGTAAAGTTCATGATAAGTCTCAAGTCTGTGATAAATGTGGAAGAAAGTACATAATACCAAAGCTCTTCAAAAAACATATATTAAATTGTAAAATAGAAAAGGAAAGTGAAGTAAAAAGAAATTCCACTTGTGTCTTTAATTCATCAAATAAGAGAGAATGTGAGAAAGAAAAAGATAATCATTTGCCAGATTTTAATGATTTTGACATGGAATGCAAAAAAAAAGGAAAAAAAGTTAATAAATCTGATGGGGCTGAAGTAAAAACCAAAGTGAATGAAAGTAATTCATCACTAAATAAAATCCACACTCAGAAGAAGTATAAAAAGAGTTCTTTGGATGAAGGCATAAAAAATGACATGGAATTTAAAATTGAATCCCACCATTATCATCAACAAATAAAGAAAATGACTAGACTGCAAAACACTCATAGAAGAAGTAGAATATGTCGAGACAGAACTCATCGCTGCTATTTATGCTTCAAGTTGTTCTCTACTGCAGCAGACCTTGATGCCCATAAGGAAAATTATCATTTAGCTAAATCTGATCGACCTGTTAGGGTCAAAACATATTTAACACTGGATGAAAAAGATGAAGAGGATTTAGTTGAACATTCTGCTTCTTTTAAGGACGAGTCATTTCTCGATGAAAATTCTGAAAAAGTTCTTGTAAAAGAAGAGCCCATGTATTTGACAGAGGAATTTGAAAATGTAACAATTATTTTAGATGAATCCATGAAGTCAACTCGTGTAATAAAACCTTTGTGCATAGCATGTCAAGCTCATACAAAGACAGATTTCAGAAAGTCTTGTAAATGGTTTAACACAATTCCTGATAGCCATCAGCTTAATGTTTTGAAAAAATTTCAGCAATTTTTACCATGCATTATTGACTCTAATGCTTTAATGGAGCCTTGGGTATTATGTAAGAAATGTGCTTTACTTATTGACAAAATTGCTGATATGGAGGATAAGCTAAATTCAATGAAATATGATTTGATGTCAAGGTTTAGAGGACGACCTGAAGTAGAGCATAATTCTGAAGACCATTGCAATATAAATGAAAATATATATCCTGAAGTTGAAGAAAGTAGCAGAAAAATGCATAGCTCTGGCACATATATATTGGAAATTAAGGAAGGACTTGGAAAACATTTATCAGATATAGAAGCATTTATGAAAGATACGTGCGAAATAATGGAGATAACAAAGCCACAGAAGAGACCTGGCAGACCACGAAAACAGGAACAAGAAAAACTAATTCCAGTTCTTGTTAGTGATGATGAAGAAAGGGTTTGCATGAAGGATATGGTTAAATATATCACCAAAGGTATAATTAATGAAAGAGAAAAAAATTTTGTTGGGACTTCTAAAGCTGAGGCAAGTATCAAGGAGGAAATCAGAGAGACAAGTTCTTCAGGAGTCATTCCAAAAAAAAAACTGATAGAAAAACATACTAATACAATTGAGATAGTTCAGATTAAAGAGGAACCTATAGATAATAATTTGGGCAATCTTGGGTCTAATTCAGAGTCAATATTATGGGATGAGATACCAAATAATTCACCGACTCCATTATCTACTTTACAAGATGAGTTGTTTGTAGAAAATTCAAATGTACAAAGAAAATATCAGTTATATTCAGAATCATTTTCAGCAGAAGTGAAGAGTGTTGACAGGAATGTTAAAGACTTAGATAGAGGTTCGGAGAGAGGTCAGGTAATACTTTCTGACCCTTGTGATGATGTGCTAAATAATGGAATTAGTAACACTGTGTTGCCTGAACATTCTTTGCCTACCCCATACAGCAATACAACAGAAAACTGTATAGATGGGAAAGTATCACAAAATCATATAACCTTTGAAGGAAATAAGTCTGATGTGTCAGCAGGATTTGAATCTAGGGATGAAATTACTATGCCTTTGAATAAGCATAATAGAGTTGATCCAGAAATAATACTGATATCTCATAATACTGAAGAGTGTAAAGATCTGCAGTCTTCCAGTACAACGTCTAGAGAAGATAAACATGCTTGTGATGGCAAGCACCTTAAACAGAGCAAAACAGCTACTGTAAGTATGACAATGTACATGTGCTTGTGCATTGCATAGATTTAGCACTTTTTTTAACATCAGTTGCTAGTATCTTGATAGTTATGTATCTAAGGAGGGCCCTGCATATTTAGCACCATCTTTTTGGTGTTCTTCATTTTCTTTGGCTTTCATTGTAGCCATTGTTTGTATGCTTAGTGCTTTTTCTGCTTTTCTTCCATTTTTGCACAGCAGTAATGTAAGAGAAGGGTGACCAGCACTATACTTTAAGGTAAGTATTGTATGTACTGTGTATTTTACTTTGTTTTTTATTAGTAGCTGTATTGAGCACTAAATATATGACAGTGTAAACACATTATCAGGCATTTTAGATGCATTCAATAATGAAAAAATGTTCTTTTCCACCCACTGGCAATTTTCATATATCGTACATGGTCAGGAACCTAAGAGCTGTACAAACAGGGCCCTCCTGTACTCCCTTGAAAGGAAGAGGGATGCCTTGATGCTGGTGATGGGCTCTTGATCAAGGGAATTAGAACAAGTCTCTTCCTGGGATCAAACATGATTACCCTTACTCCACAGGTGCTGTATGAGCTCTATGAGCTCTACAAGTTGAGTGCTTTCCCATGATGCTAACTTATGGTTTGGTGCTAACCAAATTATTACTAACTGTTAACTTATAATTTTCTTTTAAAACTTGCAGCTTCACTTGTTTTCCTGCAGTCTTAGTATTTCTGCAGATTTTTTTTTTTTTTTTTTTGTCCTCATGTGTCATGTTAAAGTTGTTTTTTATTCTAATAGCATAGATCATAGTAACTAAAAAATAGAATAGTACTTTTTAGTGTACATGATTAATGTAGCAAGTTGTTCATCTGGTGAAAGGTGTAGCAGCTGGTGTCAATTATAGCTGGTGTCAAATGTTGCAGCTGGTGTTGAATATTGCAGCTGGTGTCAAATGTCAATCAACTTGTTTTTTTTTTTTTTATCAAGTCAAATTTTATTACACTTTATACCTTTCTTAATTTATGATAATGCTTCATATGCTGGTAATTTGAGTTACATTCCTCTTCTTAGGATTAAACCTGATTACCTACAATTACCCAGACACTGGATGACCACTTTCACATTTAGTGTTTCTTCATAGATATAATATTTATTATATTTATTTTGGATGTGTGCAATGTATTCTAATACATTGCACATATATCAACAAATATGCAAAGTGGAGAAATAATATGTAGTCAAGATTTGTTGTATATTGTAAAGACATACAACACAACTTCATCTTTTCTCTTTAACTAAGGTTTCTACATAAATGTTTAAATGTCTTTCGCAGGATATACTGTTATTTGTATACAACAATAGTGCATATTTTCAAATTAATTTTTGTTTTATCCATTTGATCTGAGGAATTGTAACTGCTCAACTGCTTTCCTCTTCCTTGGATTGCACCTGAATGCCTAGGGGTCGTCCTCAAAAAGGTTGGAGGGAGGGGGTAAAGGAGGTTTTGTGGGTGAGGGGCTTGGACTTCCAGCAAGCGTGCACGAGTGTGTTAGATAAGAGTGAATGGAGACGAATGGTATTCGGGACCTGACGAGCTGTTGGAGTGTGAGCATGGTAATATTTAGTGAAGGAATTCAGGGAAACTGGTTTTTTTATATAGCCGGACTTGAGTCCTGAAAATGGGAAGTACAATGCCTGCACTTTAAAGTATGGGTTTGGGATATTGGCAGTTTGGAGGGATATGTTGTGTATCTTTATACGTATATGCTTCTAAATTGTTGTATTTCTGAGCACCTCTGCAAAAACAGTGATTATGTGTGAGTGAGATGAAATTGTTGAATGATGATGAAAGTATTTTCTTTTTGGGCATTTTCTTTCTTTTTGGGTCACCCTGCTACGGTGGGAGACGGCCGACTTGTTAAAAAAATAAACAAAACTAATGATTATTATTATTATCCATTGATTTGTGTTATTTTTATGTTGCAAGAAACACTCACAGATACGTGCAGAACGGGAGAAGATGTGTTCTCGTGTTGAAGGCAACAGTGTCAAACCTTGGATTTGTAATGAATGTCAGAAAGGTTTCTCCACTCAGCGAGGTGCTTGTGAACATTATGCAGCATCACACAAGGGACAGAATTTCTCGTGTGATCATTGCAGTGCTTCATATGTGCGCAAGAGGGATCTCATTGGTCATTATAACAAGGCAAGTATTTATAAGAGTTAGGTCAAAATACAGTATCATATGCTAAAAATTCAAATAAATGAATATAACAATCTTGTGGAATGATTGGGATGTAGTGTAGGTGTAGTAGAAAAGCTTAGGCAAAGAGTTGGTAATCCCAGACTACTGTGGGTTTGAGTCCTGATACCTCACTGAGCAATATTGTATTTTGCTGCTGTGTTTGGAAGATTTTTAATGAACAAATATATTTGAGGTACAGCAGACCCCTTATATTACATGGTAGTTACGTTCCTGAAAATGCCATGTTATATAAACTGAAGAACTTGCGGGAAAAATAGGGTTACGTTCCTGGGAGCCCAAAAAAAGCCAAACAACTTTTTTTTTGGCCCTCCAAATCTTACAAAAATAAAAGTGGCTATGTAATTGTTGTTCATTGTCGTGATGTATTATGTTGTTTTACTGCTTAAGACTACAAGTGCAACAAAAATTGTGGGTGATGGTGTTTGTGGATGATTGTGAAGAGAGTGGAGAGTTATGCTGTGGCCCTACTGGGCTGAGGTGGATGGTAGAGGTTCTGGTACTGAAGTCAGTCAAGTTAGTCTGTCAGTAAGTCAGTCAAATAAGTCAGTTATTCATCACACAAACTTGTATATTTACCTCATTCTTTTTGTACAAACTGACACTTCATTAAGGCCATAGTCTCTCGCTGTATCCACCACATGTGAGCCACTCTTAAGCTTGTAACTCCAAGACTTAAATGCTTAACCCTTTTCTTGCCACTTTCAACAACACTTGTTTGCCTACTGGGTGCCATGATTGCTTGGCAGATACAAAATATGGCAATTAAAATACCAAAACACAATCCACAAACACAGCCAGCTCCTAGATGAACGAAAGGCTGGGATGAGTGTGGCAGGGGATGGTGGTATGTCTCCCTCATGGAGACAGTGGTCTCACTCACAGCAAGGAGGCGGCCTGAGCTAAGGAAATATCCCATGGGCGACACTCCAAATTTTTTCCCCTCTCACAAACTGAACTGTGTTAAGTTAATTTTGTATAAAATTATGCCACAATTTTTCAATAGTATAATAACCAAAATGTGCCAAATAAATCTGTGTAATATAAGGGTCTACTGTACTTACATTTTTAGTGTACAGGAGAGTCCTGCTTTACAGAGTTTTGCTTTACAGTGCTTTGCTAATACTGTACAACAGTTTTCAGTTATACATATTCTTCATTTATTCAGACTTCTTACACTAAATATATTCACCACTCACTATAAGCTAAGGACAAAAATATTTTAAGGCAAGTAATATGTGTACTGTATTTCTTTAGGCCTGGCTATATTTCTCACTTAATATATGATAGTGTAAATATATTATCAGGTTTTGTATGCATTTGAAAGTGAAAAAAAGGCTATGATTCATTTTACAGCAGTATGCCAGGACCTAACCTACTGTATAAGTGGTGCCTTCCTGCATATTTGGAACAAAGTATCCTACATTTTCTCTGTCTTCTATTGCTAGTTGCACTAATGCTGATTTTCCGTGTGTGGCCTTTTCTCTAATATGTGCTTTCTTGTTTCTAGTTTTTTCTTTGACTCTCACTTGTATATAGAGTACTTTATTTGCTAAAGCAACCATCGACGGTCTCATTTCTCAGTTCAGTTATCTGCACACTGCTTTACTTTTATTGTAATTAAACACAACTGACCTCAAAGTAAGTTCGCTTGTGTCTGTCTTGCCAGTTTGCTGTACAGTAGACCCGCGGATTTCGTCCGGTGCGGAAATCATACAGTTCAGATTTCAACCACTTTTTTCAACTAAATTTTACCACAGGTTTTGTACATCCGTTCAGAAATCGTCCGTACCAGACGCATCTGCCTGGGCCGCTCATACATTCGTGACTAATTTTTGGGCACATTAAATTTCTTATTTTACGTTAAAATAGACATTTTCATTAATCCACCTATGATATTTTCTTCAAAATTATATAAGAAACACGTTACGTAGCATATAAACATTCTTTTGTTACTTGTTCACTAAGAGTGTTCCTCTAGTCTTAATGCCATAGTAATACTACTAATATGTAATAATAATCACTCTTGGGCACATTATTTTATGTTAATATAGGCATTTTCATTAATCCATCTATGATATTTTCTTCAAAATTATATAAGAAACACGTTACATAGCATATGTAAATATTCAGTGTTTATATGCTATGTATGTACCTGTTTTTACCTGACCAGCCGGGCTGTGGCTCGTACGTTGGATTGCGTGCAGCCAGCAGTAACAGCCTGGTTGATCAGGCTCTGATCCACCAGGAGGCCTGGTCACAGACTGGGCCGTGGGGGGCTTTGACCCCCGGAACTCTCTCCAGGTAAACTCCAGGTATGTTTAACCCTTTCAGGGTCCCCAGGCCCTCTCCGAGACTTGTTCTCAAGGTCTCCAAATTTAAAAAAAAAAAAATTATTTTTTCTTATGAAAAGATAGAGAATCTTTTCCCGATCATAATGACACCAAAAGTATGAAATTTGATGGAACACTTATGGAATTATGTTCTCGCGAAGTTAGCGGTCTCGACGATGTTTACGCATCAGCAATTTTGCCCACTTTGAGCCCTATTTTCGGCCAATTCCAGTGTACTAGTCGACAAAAATCATAACTATTTCGCTAGAACTCCATTTTTTCTATCGAATGAGTACAAGAAACCACCCATTTACCGATTTCAACTGTCCAATAAAGTGGTCAGAATTTAGCAATTTTGCCAATTTCACACAAATTTCAAAAGATGCCAATTTCCGAATAAGGTCCAGAATAAACAAGAAAGACATTCCTGGCACTAAAATAACAAGTTCTCTGTTCGTTAGTCACATCCCCAGGCCCCTCTTATATTTCTTTGGCTTTCTACTTTGAATTTTTATTCTTACAAAATGTAGAAGATTTACTGTTAGGCAAACTACTGCATTAGTGTAGAAATGGTATAAATAATATCAGCGCACTTGTGAAAGAATATTAGACTCACCAGTTGACGTGTATTGGATGCTTGGCATGATTTGTTTACTTTTGAACTTAGGTAAAAATCGAACATTTCTGCTACTTTGAACTCAATTTCAAGGTACTTTTCATTGTGAAACTAGTCAAAATCATCTCAATTTCTGTAATATGTCTTCCATTCTATAAAATGATACCAGGAAAACTAGAATACAACAATAAATACCATACGAAAATACAGTGCAAAGTCGCTGTTTTAATCCAAAAACACGGTCAGAGTTTTTTTTTTTCCTCATTACGCACTGTGTGCTGCAGGATTCTTTTATACTGTGCACACTGACCACATAGACCCATTCTTTCATATGTAGGCCTACCAGCTTTCTCTCATTAGATTTGAGGGCGCTATAATTTAGGCATACTAGTACGTCAAAAACCCTGGGGCGTAAACCGTACTAGTATGGCCGAAACCCTGAATGGGTTAGTAATAACCACTCTTGGGCACATTAAATGTCTTATTTTACGTTAATATAGACATTTTCATTAATCCAAATATGACATTTTCTTCAAAATCATGTAAGAAACACGTTACATAGCATATAAACATGCCTTTGTTACTTGTTCACGGGCTACACCTACCAGCTACCTACACTGACTTCCTACAAATAAACACTGCTCACCTCTTGCTCTTCATTAAGACTACAAATATTTCAAGGTAAGTAATGAATGTACTGTGTATGTATTTTACTTTTTATTGTGTTTTTTAATGCCTAGTTCTATTACTAACTTAATTTATTTTTTGTTAATATTTTTGGGTGTCTGGAATGGATTAATTGGATTTACATTATTTCTTATGGGAAATATTACTTCAGTTTTCATTCATTTCGGGTTTTGACTGACCTTCTGGAACAGATTAAGGACAAAAACTGGGGTTCCACTGTATTTCATTGAGGTGAAAAGTGATCAAGACAGCCACATCCAACCTATCATATGCCATGATGTCATTGTCAGCAAAAGCTTGCACCTGATTTTTCAGGGTAAGTACATCAACTTTAGGCCTGTGAACTGTACTGCAAATGTCTTTGTTTGCTCACAGGTAATGAAAGAGGAAAAGGCTTGAGTACCATTTATTGATGAATAATGTATGCCTCTTACCAGTATACAGCTCCATTTTCTTTACCACATTGACAGATATCCCAAGTAATTTATGGCTATTTTCTGTTGCTGCCCATCTTATGTAGACAGTCAAATCAATGACCATGCCACTTTTGCAGTCACATATGATGAACAGTTTTATACCAGAGTGGCTTCATTTGATTGGTATGTACTATTTGAATGATAGTTGTTCCTGAACAGTATCAAAGACTTGTCAGTCACAAGATTTGTAAAATGATAGAAAAACTTGCTGACCTTGTTTTTCAGATACATTAAAACTTCTTGATTTTGAATAACACAGCATCTTTGCTGGGATTTACCTTGTCAAGAAATGAAACACACTCAACAGGAGCAGGATTTGGTTTCAAATAAAAAGGTCACTAAATGCCAGAGTACATATAAGCCTTGTTGTTGTTGCAATATTGTTCTTATGTACATGTGACATAAGACATAAGCATAATAGTGGCAAAGAACAGATACAGGTCTGCCATAGTACAGTAGTGTCATTCTATTCATGCAGGTGTGATTGTGTTGAAACATTTGTGTTTGTCATGGTATACTTTTGATATGCATTTGTTTGCTGCACAATAAGCTGCATCAGGGCAATATCAAAGAACAAGTCAAAGAGAGAAGCTTCATGAGAGTTCTCTGTTACAGTGCAGTGATGTTTTACTCCACTGTTTGTGCAATCTGGTGGTAGTGGTTGTGGTACATCTGTAGCTACAGTTGGTAGTGGTTGGGATGGTGATCGTCATGTCCTTCCCAGCCCTACAAAATGACCACCATAATCATCACTATCACTGTCAGGTGGTTGTGAAGTACTGTACATGGTAAATGTGCATTTGATACGGTGCATGGCACACTTCCCTACCC